GACTAATGAACCGGAAGTCTCGCACATTCACAGAAAATGGCTTACTTCCACGTTGAAAAATAAGGTGGATTTTTGTTTTTTTTTACCTGTATTCTCACCAATACTGTGTGAATGTGAGGTTATCTATAAATTTAAAGTCCTTTTCTTTTCTATAGCTGTATATTTTGTTAAAAGGTGACTATAAAACCTCCAGTTTCTTTTTGTATTCAGAGTAATTTATGACTCATTATATTGCACATGTTAATAGCAGCAAACTGGCAGCAGTTGAGCAGAAAACCTTTTCCCTAGGAACGATCATTAGTTATAAATGGAGTCAGGTCAATACAATTTTTTTTTACCATATTAGTTGAAAATATCAGTAGTACATGAGGCATCACATCTACAAATGAATTGTATTTTGTGTGTGAGAAATGCACAAAGGTGAATTTCTGGAAAAAAAAAAAATGTCCAGATCGTCGTGTCCTGTTTAACTCAAAACTAAACTACAAACAAACAAAATCAAACAAACAAATGAATTAATGAATGTAAACAAATACATATTATTAATCTAATAATTATTCATTTTCATAATTTTAGTAAAAGCTCTAACACTGTTTTTAAATTGAATTCAGCAGAAAGTAAATGCTGTGCAACCAATATTACCATGATAACACAAATACTTTGCAATTTAAGATTATTAGTCTTATCAAGTCAAGTCAAGTCTGCTTTATTGTCAATTCTTCCACATGTACAGCACATACACACAGATAATTGCGTTCAAAGCACTTCATGAGGATGGGGGTAAGTGCAACTGGACGGTAGTCATTGAAGCAGGATGGAGACGACTTCTTTGGGACTGGAATGATGGTGGTAGCTTTGAAGCATGTGGGGACAAAAGCCTGGCTTAGCGAGATGTTGAAAATGTCTGTGAAGACATCGGTGAGTTCCACTGCACAGTCTCTCAAACATTTCTTATTCTTTTCCTTTGAATTATGAAAATGAGATATTTCACATTACAGTAATGTAAAATATTGCTTAACTGTAATGAAAATAATCCGTCACAATAATAAAAAAATAAAAAAGACGTCTGAGATATTTTGTTTTCTTGGAGCAAAACATAATATCTTCGTTCTTTTCATTTTGCAGTGGGACATGACCAGGACATGCTATTGACTAGATTCCCCCATAAATAACCAGAGAACAAGCCAGATGAAGTGTCATGAACTAGATAATTAGCTCAATTTACTTATCATTCCACACCCAGCGCAAAATAAAATGTCCACAAAAATAAAATAAAATAAAAAAAACTTTGTCTTGAAATGTGACATTACGACCCTTCATACGAGCATAAAGCCCACTCTCCTGCCACTTAAAAATACTACAGCAAGAAACATGTCCAGGCAGGGACCTGCTTGAAAAACATTTCTTCTCTAATCTTCAGTAGCAGTGGGATGCTAAAATCCTGTCGCCTCTTAAATAGGCTTTATGAGAGAGTAAATGTGTCTAGTTTAGCTTATAAAACATTTAACAGTGTAAGGTAATGGATACAGCCCTCACTCATTATTTATAGGAAGACAAAAACAGAGGGGGAAAAAAAAAATCATTTGCAGTGCAGGTCGCTGAACATACAGTATATACATCCAATACTCCACAATAACCCTCATGACTACATGCAAATTAAAAACAAGCTAATTTATCATGCACCGGTCGAGCACTGTTGATGAGGCCCTTCATTTCTCTCCAAGCACTTTTGGGAATTAAAAAAGCAAGGCTTATAAATGGGTTGAGTGGAATATTCATATGAACCTGCTGATATTCATGCTAGCATTAGTAAGAACAATTACATTTAAAATGTCACAGTAAAAAAAATAAATAAATAAATAAATCAGGAAATAAAACACTCAAAAGGTTTATACTTTGATTGCATGATATATATA